ATTTATATATATATATATATATATATATATATATATATATATGTTAGAAATGTTCTAGCAAACATCAGCAAAATTTAAAAAAAAAAATTGACCTTTAAGCTTTTAAAAATGATTTTAAACTTTCAGACCCGACTTTGTCAAGCCAACATCAAAATTGGTCTTCAAACTACTCTTCTAGTTAATTTTGCATTTCAAAATTTTGTGAGTCAATACCTCTATAAAGACGTTCTGTGCAGCAATTGCGATTATACGGGGTTTCGCTGACTGGTTGCTAATGTTGTCAGATTCATTTCTGAGGAACACATAGAAACCATCTGTCCAAAACTAACCTCGCAGCTCACTCCTATTCTACCTCAGCATTTGTCTATAACTTCTGGCCTTTAACCTCTCATGATCAGCACCTCGTGTTATGGCGCTTTTCCACTGCGTGGTACGACTCTGCTCGGCACGGTTCGGCTCGGTTTGCGTTTCCACTGCAGTTCAGTACCGCTTTAGAGTGGGCGGGATTATTCACATGTCGTTATAGTTGCGCCGCCTCTACTACCACGACTCCTAAAAAATGTTTTTTATTCCGCGTCGCCCCATCAAGCTCTCACTGGATCTGCTCCTCTGCTATCAACGAGAGGAAGGTCTGTACTTCCTCAACAGATAACGAAACAGCCACTTTTTGGTTGTTAAAAAAAGGTGCGCTCGTTCAAAACCGTTGCGTTCGATCCATCGCTGGCTGTGCTGATTTAAATCTAGCGGTTCTTTTGTGTTTGTGTCGCAAGTTCAGTACCGTGCCGTACCATGCAGTGGAAAAGCGCCATTAGTTTCCCATTCGTCTGTGACCTAGCTTCACCCTTTCTGCAGTCTCTCAGCCGTATCTTGACCTCGTCTCGACCCCTGTGTGTTTGGCTGATGTGTGATCAGTCCTGACCTGTATTAGCACAGTGGATGTTTCTGAAGGGCATATGGGTTTGAGAAATGTGCTGTGTGTGGCTCAAAAATCCATCCAGCTTTATTTTGCGTATGGAATGAAGTCTGTCCTTGAAGAGACTAATGTCTCCTAATCGGATTAGCATGATGTGTGTTTACTTTGGCTGGTTTTTGCTATTCAGAGTCATCACTAGGGCTTTAAAAATACCATTATTTTACATTTCTGTGTAATATTGGTCAAGGTTTCTTGCATTAAATCAAGTTTTACACAATTTCTTTCTTTCTTTCTATTGTTTTTAGTGTTTACTTTTTTCAGGTTTAGGACAATGTCACGTTTCAGCCTCTCACTGACCCCTAGAATTAAACAAGCTGATTTGACTTCTGTTTCATGAATACTCTGTATAAACAGCCATTGTTATGATTGGTTAGACTCTGCACACTGTGACTCTGTGTCTTTTAGCAGGCTAAAAGCTGGCAATGTGTTGATGTGTAAATGTGGGTTATACACAGAACGTTTTATAAATTGACAGTAAGGACATTTATAATATTACAAAATATTTATATTTCAAACAAACACTTCTCTTTTGATTGCAGCTCCCCCCAAAAATAGTTTCAACATTGATAATAATAAGAGATGTTTCTTGAGCATATCAGCATGATTTCTGAAGGATCATGTGACACTGAAGACTGGAGTAATGATGCTGAAAATTCAGCTTTGATCACAGCAATAAATTACTTTTTACAATATATTCAAATAGAAAACAGTTCTTTTAAATTGTAATAATATTTAACAGTACTACTACTTACTATTGCTATTTTTACAGTTTTTTTTTTCAAGCAAATAATATAAATGCAACCTTAATGAGCATAAGAGACTTCTTTCAAAAACAATGAATTGAAGTGTGTTAATGTAAAAATTGTAGGGCTGGGCGATATATATAAAAAAAAATTATATCTCGATATTGTCAATTTTTACGATATTCAATATATATCTCGATATGTTTGCATTTGCTTTTAAATGATAAAAAACATGAATTTAGTACAGAAAGTGCATTCTGTCAACTTTTTTGGTGCATACAATTCACAATTTACACTGCAACTGGGGGAAATAATTAAACCGTGATAAGTATTTTTTACAAGTTTTTTTGCTAAGAACACAAGTCTGTCAACTGTCTGGTTTAAGAGAAGCTCTGTGGCATGAAACTATGTTCCCACTGGCACTAAAAACCCTCTCAGATGGGAAGCTAGTTACTGGAACACATAGGTATTTATATACATATATATATATATATACAGTGGTGTGAAAAAGTGTTGGCCCCCTTCCTGATTTCTTATTTTTTTGCATGTTTGTCACACTTTAAAGGGGTCATATGATGCGATTTAAATTTTTACTTTCTCTTTGGAGTGTTACAAGCTCTTGGTGCATAAAGAAGATCTGTAAAGTTGCAAAGACTAAAGTCTCAAAACCAAAGAGTCTATATTATGAAAACTGGTAAAACAAATGAAAAATATGATAACAGTGAAATTCCTAATAGTTATTCCAAATTGCCATAGCCTATGCTTCTCTATTCAAACAACAGCGGTTGAGTAAGTGCATTTATTCAGTGATCACAATCGAAAACAATATAGTCGAGATCTCATGACAGAACACGGACTGGTTGAGTGACACTTTCATTTAGATCGCTAAACTCCAGCTCGTTTGTTGGTGTTTTCAGATCATCGGCGGCGGTGCTTGCGCACTGAGGAGCGAGCGCGTGCGCATGGTTGCCAGATTGCTTAAAATAAGCAAAACACTGGGCAGAAAATGTATGCTGACACAAAAAGTCTCGAGATAATCCCTTTTAATCTGCTTGTTTGAGCAGACGGTTGGCCACACACTGCTACACACTGCACGTGCTGATTTTCTAGTCCAGATTCTCTCTCTCTCTGTGTGTGTGTGTGTGTGTGTGTGTGTGTGTGTGTTTCTCAGCCGCTCTCTTGTGCTCATCCTCAGGCATGTGATTGTCCTGTGCGCAAAAGCTTTAACATCAAAGAGCTCTATTGCCATCAGGCTTTAATGACATTAGCCTTCGTGAGTGTTTGTGTTTCTGTGTGTGGTGTATCTTTCTGAAGTCATACAAACCTCTGTCTGTCTGTGTGTGTGTGTGTGTGTGTGTGTGTGTGTGTGCGCATTGCTGCTTCTGATATGAACTCCTTGTTGTGTGTATCTGTAAGTGTTTGCAGATCCGTCTGCATCTGATTTTGGGTGTGTTCGTCTGTAAGTCTAGATTTGTGTGTGTGTGAGTCTCTGTGGGATCATAATCAAACTCCAACAGGAAGCACATGCATTATAAAACCTCAGCTGTCCTATGATTTCCAGTGGCTCATAACAGCATTACCATCTCTGATCAGGTTATAATAGATTGTCCTAGAGATTCAGGGATCATACCGCAGTTTTCTAATACCGTTTGATATAAATATTTAAACTAAAAGGAAAATACAAATATTCATTTTCTAAAACTGTTACTATGTCACTATATGCACATTCATTCTTTGTTTTATGTATGCTAAAACTGCTTTATAAATGCCTCCACTCTGTTTACATTCACAATTATGAATTATACTATGAATCTCTGACTATAAATTTACATATTTTCAATTCAAACAGTGAGGGAGAAAGTGAGTAGTTTGGATAAATTACGATGTCAAATATTAATATATGACCGCCCACATCTACACATCAACAGCTATTCGGCATTCAGAAACTTGGTCCTCCACAATGAGGTCTCTAGTAGAAAGATTTCAGCGTCAACATTATCTCAGTGACCGTTTGAATTCACCAATCACCTGATATGAAAATTAATTCAGTTTACACGACTACTAGGACTGCATTATTGGAAAAAAGTGACACCGTGATATTTAGCTTTTCTGCTGTATATTACGGAATGAAAAATATAGGAATTTTCAGCAGATGACTTGAATAGCTGGGAGTGCCTTTCAACCCTCACAATACTCAAAAAATTTTGGTTTTAATTTCCCATTCACTTTATGTCATGTAATAAATAGTAGACACTCAAGTACTATAGAAACATATTAGCTGAGCTCCCACACATTGTTTTAGATAATTATGGGCCATTATTCGAAGCATAAACTATAAGATATGTCCACCCTGTCATGGACATATATATTACTGTTAAATACGTTTTCGTTAAGATGCAAATTATATTTTCTGAAAGGTATGATGTCCCTTTCCTTAAACAGGGTTATTAAAAAAAGAATATAATAATAATAAAAAATATAACTAGGGGTGTAAATCGGATGGTTCGTCACGATACGATATCAATTCTTTTCCCCAGCGATACGATATTTACCGATACCTCAAAAAACATTCTACGATACGATACGATTCGATTCGATACAGGAGTATATCGATCGATATTATGATATTATATACCTATTTTAAACAACCGTCTACATTTTTATTAACTCACAAATGCAACCAAAATATATAACATGAACATAGTGTTGCTTTCGTCAACGAAAATTATGACTAAATATCGTCGTCAACGAACCTTTATCACGTGACGAAAACGAGACAAGACGCAACGTAAATGCTGGTCATGTGACGATGACTATAATTAAATGTATAATGCAATATTGTTGACAAATAAAAATGAGACTAAATGTGGTTTACAAAATAAAAACTATACTAAAATGTCTCTTCATTTTCGTTGACCAAAAAATGGTATAACGTTATTTCGTCTCGTTTAGTCGCGTTATTATTATTATTTTGCAGTATTTCTGTTTCCTGTGTCTCACTTCAGGGGCTGCATCAGGTCGCACTGCGCAGACGCAGGCGACGTCACTTCCTCAAGCCCCACTCGCGGCATTATTTAGATCAGTGTTTCCCAACCAGGGTGCCGCGTCTGTCGAGAGCAGGGGTGCAGTGTGTGCAGTGTATTTTTTATATTTTTAAATTGCTAAAATGTTAAAAAAAGCAGCTATTATATAATATCCATTATATCCATTTCCAATAATTAGAGATGCACTGAAATTCCGGCTGCCGAAAAT